TGGTTATGCGTTTGCGCATCAGGAGGGCTTCGGCGAGCTGATCACATCAGGAAAAAATATGCGCCTGAGCTCGCTGGCTCTCGCCACGTTCGCCTCTCGCCACAGCAGCAGTTGGATTGATACTCTTCGCAGGAAAAAACACGCAAACAGCACACAGAACACCCCGCCCACCGGAGAAGACAGTGCCGCCTCCTCTCAAGGGCCACCACTTTCCACGTCTTCCTCAGCAGCAGGCGAGGCAGGACAAGCATGTAATGAACCCGTCCTCACTCACAGCCCTGATGATATCGCTCTCAGTGTTATTAGGTGTCCAGAAAGAGAGGTTGGGGAAAGTAGTACACGAACTGTGCAGGTAAATATACATCTGAAAACAAGTTCAAGCACAAATTGTATACAGATAAACTGCATGCAAGTAAACATACACAAATGTAGGTTGTTATACAACACTGGGCAGAGGGTTGATTCTGTAGGAGCACAAAAACTAATTTTGTGGATTGACAGAAAAATAAAATTTCCCCCAAGGAGAAAAAACGGCAGGAAGCAGAACTATTAATAACACTTTCATTTCTCACTTTTGTACATAGTAGTGGTCTCAGCTCAGTTCCCCAATAATTAGGAAAACCCTATTATTGTCAGTCTTTTAAAAAATATTAATAGGTTTATTGAACAAAAGTATTACTTTGATCAAAAATGACAGAAAAGACATTTATAAGACATTTCTATTTCAAATAAATGCTATTCTTTGAACTTTCATTCATCAAAGAATACTGAAAAGAAATGGATCACAGTTTCCATAAAAAGCATTAAGTAGCACAAATCTGTTTTCAAAACTGATAATAATAAGCTTTGCCATCACAGGAATAAATTAAATTTAAAATATATTAAAATAGAAAACTGTTATTTTAAATTGTTAGAATATTTCACAATATTCTGTCTATACTGTATGTTTGATCAAATGAATGCAGCCTTGTTAACCATAAGAGACTCAAAATATTAAAAATAAATATCTTACAACCCAGTTTTTTAAATAATAATTATTAATACACAATATAGGCAAGGCAAGTTTATTTATATAGCACATTTCATACACAATGGTAATTCAAAGTGCTTTACATAAAAGGAAGTAAAATAATAAAAAAAATCACAACAATAAAACGGAACTTAAAAACCTTTTAAATGATTTAGAAATTGATTTAGAATGAATTTAAAACAGTTAGAAATAGAAAATGATTATACATCAAATACAGTGCAATCAGTTCAGACATAGCACAGTAACACAGTAGCACAGTCAATAAATGCACAGCTAAACAGATGAGTTTTGAGTCTGCATTTAAATGTGGTTAATATTTTAGCACATCTGATCTCTTCTGGAAGCTGATTCCAGCTGCGGGCGGCATAATAGCTAAAAGCGGACTCCCCTTGTTTTGTGTGAACCCTTGGTATTTCTAACTGACTCGATCCTAATGATCTGAATAGTCTGTTAGGTTTGTATTTCAATGGGGCTGTAGTCATTTGGCGATAAGGCTAGGTAAATCTGGGTGTCATCTGCATAGCTGTGATAGGCAATTTGGTTCTTTCTTATTTTTTGACTTAGTGGGAGCATATACAGTCTAAACAGGAGTGGTGCAAGAATTGAGCCTTGTGGGACTCCACATGTCATAGATGTCCACTTAGACTTATGCTCTCCTATACTCACATAATAACCTCTCCCTTCTAAGTATGACCTGAACCATTTAATTACCATCCCAGAAAGCCCGACCCAGTTTTCTAGTCTCTCTAGAAGTATGTTATGATCTACAGTGTCAAACGCAGCACTGAGATCTAGTAGTACCAGCACTGATATTTTGCAAGATTCAGAATTTAAGCGGTGGAGCACCTTTCAGCACAATACCTAGATATTCAAAAGACAAGTAAACGACAAATGACACTTGCTTGCATTGATAGACATCTTTAAATAGAGCAGCTACACCTCCACCTCTCCTAACAGTCCTGCAGACACTTATGAAATTAAAGTTAGGAGGGGCTGTTTCATTGAGGACTGTTGCACTTCTAGCCATGTTTCATTTAGAAACATTAAATCCAGGTTGTTTGTGGTTATTAAGTCATTGATCAGAAATTATTAATTTTTTTAGTGAGCGAATGTTTAAAAATGCTAACTTGATGGCATTGATGGCATCAGCCGTACGGCTTGAGAAGGCCTTAGACTTTCTATCACGTGATAAAACAGAAATAGAGATCAATATACAATACAATACAATATACAAATCAATACCTTTATTATTGCAGTGTTTGCATTTCAATGGTTATGTAAATGTTTAAAATCTGAAAGCTTAGCTGTTTCAGATTTTCCACTTCTTTTTCCATTTTTACTGATTTGCATGTTTTTCAGTGCCTGTTCTTTGGACAAATTCTAAAATCTAAAAATGTTTAGCTTGACTATGGGATGGGAAAGCAGCTGTTGTTGACACACTGTTGAACAGAAAAAGTATAGCTGTGGTTGCAAGGGGGAATTAAGGGCAAACTGAATTTGCTGAATAATTTCTGAAATAGTACACAACGCTATTTAATTAAAACGTTATTAGCACAATTTATTTATTATTATTTCCTCTGGCAAGACATTATTACTCTCCTTAAATGCAAAGTGGCTAAATTGCTTAAATCCATGTTCTCCCCAAAAACTTAACTTTGAATAAAATTTTTTTATTAATACTTGAGAAAAATTGGAATGGAAAGAAATCTTTTTCTGTAGAGTGTCAGTTACTCACCCTCATGTCATTCCAAACCTGTATGACTTATAAGTCAATTGTAACCAAAACTGTCATTCTTCAAAATATATTTTTTGTGTTCCGCAAAAGAAAGAAAGTCATTTTGGGTTTGTAACAACATGACGGTGAGTAAATGATGACAGAATTTTAAATTTTTTTTTTCACATTTCTAGTGTAGATCATATCACCGTATGTTTTAAATTGTTTAGTAGTCCTTTCATTCTTTCTTCTAGGAAGCACCATTTGTGTGGAAGGGAACCGGAGCTCGAATCAATGGTTCCAGTAGTCCTGGACCACCTCCCATTGCAGAAGAAACTTCCAGTGGCGAGTGATGGATAGATGGCCCAACTGGAAATGGGCTAATAAGATTGTAAACACAGTAGTGTGTGTGTGGCGTTGTTGTTGTGATGTGAATGGGTGAGACAGACCAAGAAAGTTTTTAAAGATGTTTGAGAAGATACTGCGCTCCATACTTGCCCTCTTCCCTGTTTAAGTTAGGCCTAGCTTTCATACTGTTGTAACAATTACATGCCTTAAAAGCTAAATGTGTGGGTGTTATTTTTTTTCCATCCAGACATTTATATATTGCAATAAGAGGTTAAAGGTCATCTTATGGATAGTGTCTGTTTCAGTGTCTGTTAGCCAAATCCAAATGGTCTGTGAAGTAAATAGTATGACTCTACTCTTGTGAATGTGCCTAGTGAAAAATTAAAAATAGATATGATTAAATGATTTTAATCAAGTAAAAACCTGATCATGGCTGTGTGTCTAACAATTTTTGAAAGGTAAATAATTTATAATGGAATAGTTCACCCAAAAAATTATATTTGTCATAATTTGCTCATCATCATGTATGATTTGTGAGAAACAAAAGGAGACATTTTGAAGAATTTTTCTGCTCACTCTTTTCCATGCAATGAATGGGTACTGAAGATGTCAAACTTTTATAAAATACCATAAAAATGGGCCATATGATACTTATCTCACAAGGGAAATAGTGATGCTCGATTTGTGAGCGATTCATTCTGCTGAGTCTGATCTTTTCAGTGACACAAGACAAGTTTGAATGATTTACTCAAGAATTGAGCTGATCCAGTTCTAGAGTTCAACTCACTGATTTGTATTCACACGTTTACCTCATATTTCTTTAAATAGAATAGAACCATCATTTCTTAATAACTCGCAGAAATACGATTCTCTGCTGATCCATCAGTCAATATTGCATGATCATAATTCCCATAAAGACTGTAAACTGTTCGATATATGTAATATCTGCATTAGGTCACAGTAGAGTGAGTTTTGAGCAAAAACATTATGTATTAATCTCATACTGTCACTCTTGAGACTAATAGCGCGCGCTGACTTTCTGAAAAGCCCTGCATGGATTAAGGCGCGTGAACCAGGATCACGAAACCCAGACGGTCTGTATTAAGTGGGAGCGCTGACAGTTAAAGTCCATTTCTGATTTTATTGTCGTTTGTATTTTCATGTTGCAGTATTTTTTTGCTCTGTATTTTTTATGCTCTGTTGGTGGGATAGCATCACCCGGGGGGGTCAAATATGGACTAACCCAACTTTTGGGTTAAAAATTTAATGTAAAAATTTAACCCAACGGTTGGGTTAGTCCATATTTGACCCAAAGTTGGGTTGAAACAACCCAGCATTTTTTTGAGTGTATATATATATATATAGGCTATATTACTATCAGCAGACCTGATCTATTCTGGCGAACCTCAGTGATATAGCAGGTCTTGGGTCACGTAGTAATGTTTTAAAGCAACTGACCCCAAACAGAATTAGTTTGTTTCTCGGTCTTTGCCTTGTCAAATAGGAACTTGTTTGTCTTTGAGGTGCATCAGTGTCGCAAGAGCGGATTTGTTAAAGTAACAGATAGTCTGATGTGCGGGGAGGAGAGGAAGGGGCTGCAGTCTTCTGGCTCTCTCACAAACAAACGAGCTCCGCATCGAAATCTAGTCGCAACTGAAAATATATTTTGTCAAACGAATAGGCTTAGTTAACGCTTTGTCCTAGATCTGTACTATGATTCAAATAATAATGTAACAGTTTTAAATAACATTTTAAATTGTAAGGTTTTTATTTTCTTTATTTTATTAGGCTGTCTGAAATGTTGATGTGAGGAAAATGTAAATTTTCATCGTTAAACTTGCTGAACGGGTTGACATTATGACCCGTTACCATATTGTATATTTTGGTGGCTGATTATTATTATTATTATTATTAATATTATTTTATTTTTATTTATTTTTTTGGAAGTGAAATATAAATTTATAATGTGGAACCGATCTACACTCAAGTTTCTCTTCGGTGTATTAGCTGCGATTAAAGTTCAGTCTGCCTCAGAAGAGCTGTGTCCTCGACAAGGTAATAAACCATTTCATTTCGAGACACAATTGAGAATTATTCATTTGTGGTTGAATTTGTGTGATGAACCTTAATCAGTTATTCTTGACCTGTATTGTATATTTTGACTTTAAAAAACAGATTTATATCTCTTTCATGGTCTTGTTAGGCTGTAGCCAGAGTGATTAATCTCTGACTCAGAATGGTTAATGATGAGCGCTTGTAGTAAAGAATAGCCTAATATTAATAGCAATTAAGTTAAATTTAGTGTAAAAACTTTCATCACGGGACCTTTTTTATATTGAATGTTCACATTCAAAACTTCTTGGAAACTTTTTACCTCACATTCATTATTTTTTTCTGCTTTCAATCTTAAAATAAAATAAAATAAAACAAAAACATATTAAAATAATGAATGCGAAAAGAATAAACAATTTCCATGTTTATTGTTCGAAAATTATTATCAGTTTTGTTTTTTTTCAAAAACTACAAAAAATGTATGAGCATAGAAAGATGTGATGCGTGGAGAAAAAAAAGATTAATGTAAAACTTCTGATGAGAATAGTTTTTATTGTGCTTAGGCCTATCAATTGCAATCAAGTTATAATTGCAAAAGTTTTGTGTATTTCAGACACATCAAATGCTAACTATGATATTAGCCAAACAAAAGCAAAAAAAAAAAAAAGTCCTTTTTTACTACAAAAATATGAAAGAATTAAATTAAAAATTTAATTTCTACCACAAAATGTTCTCGAACACAATATTTAATTTGAGATGTGGTGGAAATGGCCATTCGGTGGGGAAAAAAGAGACAAAAATTCTTCTGTGATACATGTATGTCTACTCTTGGACATTGTTAGCAAACAACATAAATATTGAGAGATTATTTCCTACAGCCCTGAGAGCCAAAAGCAGAGGCCAGAGGGACACGTGCCAGATTTTCGAGCCTAGTGGATTTGGAATGCAACTTCCAAAAGACAAAAAAAGCCGAATGATATTTTTTTATAATTGATTCTATCACACGGGTGTGATGTGCGACACATCACTAGCTGCTAAATTCAAATCTGCGTTCGCTGGCTGGCGCTGAGCCAGAGACAGACGTGTTTTTACATTATAACCAATCACACACGATTCTGTTGAGCTTATGAATGCAATGGCCAATCAGAGGCGTTAAGAACAATCATTGCTGAAACACCGCAGTTTTGTGCACTGCGCGCGTCGCTGACTGAATGAAATAACGAAGTGCAGATGTGCCAACGATGTAAGATATGCAAAAAATTTATAATATAAAAATGTTTAAAATATTCAAAAAATTATAATATAATATTAAAACAAAAAAATACAAATATTAAAAAATTAAATAAAACATAGCCTGGGGGATTTTAATAAAAGGAAGTGAAAGCAAAAGTACCAGTTCATTGCATAATTGTGTTCCATATATAACCGGCGCTATGAACTGTGGGTATAATGTACTGTATATACTCACCCAAGTTAGAATATTATGTACTAGAAACCAGTACATATGACACGTAAAAAACTGTACTAAAACATCTTGTAAAGGATTATTAATGTGATTAAATATCTAAAACTGTTTTGAATCTTCTTCAGAGCCCCTTCCTGGAGTTTTGGTCTTGAAGTTAGGAAGCAATGGTGTGCTTGGCTGCAGAGGCGATGTCTCTGTGGACGGTGTGCTGTTGGCTTCGGCCAGTGTCACAAATAAAAAACACAGAAACAAGCAGACAGAAGACATCACTGTCAGCTGGACATCCCAAACAGGTGATGCTAATGCTACACAGCTAACCAATATGAAGGGAAATGTTACAACTGAGACATACCAAAAGTTTGTTTCTGGTATGTATTCCAAAGCTAAAGGGGCCACAACAGTTACAGTTAAACCACCTGTAACCATAAGAAAGGAACAAACCACTTCTAGACGTGTTTTGCGTGCTGTCAGTCAAACTACTGGAATGGAGGAAGAGGTCTTCGATATCACCATGGGGACGGATTTTCATCAGAACTATTATGAGGACTATGATTATGAAGAGGAAAGGTCCAGGGTGACAAGAGGCATCAAAAAGCGAACACGCTGGACTCTCAATGGACGACAATTGCATTCTGGAGTGGAAAGGGGAGGGATTTTAAGACGGCCACATCTCAGCTGGGCAGATGCTGGGAATTACAGCTGCTACAGAGGAGAGAGACTAATTTCCACATTCAGAATCAGCGTAGGGGGTGAGGACCTTCTTTCACACGCATATTGACAAATGATTTACAGATACACAGAGAAGAAATTCACATCCTTGCACTTTTTTCACAGTGCCCCCAGAGAGACCCACTGTCAACTGCTACAAGAAGTTTCACACCAGTAAAGTGCGCTGTGATTGGACATCCAAAAATCCAGTAACCCCACGGCCACTGTGTTACCTCCTTCTTATTAGAGAGTGAGTGTATGCATTTAGCAGCAGTCAGCACTTTATGAATAAATGACTCAGTGTTTATGTAAGTATTTAAATAAATGTATAATATATTTGTAGATTTCTAAAGTTTTTTTTATGAAAAATATACAGAATAACATATGGAACCTATGTAAATAATAACTGAATAATTTTATTTATTTTTTTTAATTATGATTATCATCTGATCTCTCCTGTGCACTTCTCTCTCTACAAAGATTGTTTGGTAACGTCACTCGCGTGCCTTGTTCATTCTCCCGCTCCCGCTGTTGGTGTGCTTTTCACGTGGAGGAGGGTGACAGAGCTCTCCATGTGGCAAAACTGTGTGTGTCTAACACAGCAGGCAATGCCACGAGCCCTTACCTCAGCTTCAAGCTTCATGACATCAGTGAGTGCTTGTGTTTTCCTGTTCTGTGGGATGTTGATTAGTCGCTTACACTTTTAAAACACCATCAATGTGCTTGTGAAACAAAAATATTTTTCTCCGTAGTTAAGCCAGACCCTCCGACCCGGGTGGTGGTGAGAGCAGTTGAGGGCCAGAAGCATATGCTTAAAGTATCCTGGTCTTATCCCAGTTCCTGGAAGCATGGCTTCTATGCCCTGCATTTCGATCTGAGATACCGAACACAACTCGCAGAGCAGGTAAAATGGGAAGGCTTGTATGTATAAATCTTGAAATGGCACAATGGCACAATGGTATTTATGTGTGTGTGTATTTAGTACCAGTCAGTGCTGATATATGACAGGATGGACAGACACGTGTCCTGGACAATTTATGATGCTCTGCCACACACTCAGTATGAAGTGCAGCTCCGGGCCAAGGATGAGTTTGACGGCGTCTGGAGTGACTGGACTGACGCTGTCTATGCAGTCAGTTGGACAGGTAACAAAATACATGGTAATTTCTAATACTGTAAAACTTGTTTTAATTGTTTTATAGAAATTAGTTCAATTTTGGTGTATTTTAAATATTTGGTGTATTTGTCACATACCTGTATTATTGCATTATACATATTGTATTAAGAGCAAAGATCAGTGTTCAGCAGATAAGAGGCTCTAAACACATCCTGTCCAGATTCTGTGCTTTACTGGGAGTCTATGAGAACATCATTTACACTATTTGCATTGGGGAAAGCATCTAATTGTCTGTTGGACATTAAAAGGTTAGTTCACCCAAAAAATGAAACTTTTGTCATTAATTACTCACCCTCATGTTGTTCCAAACCTGTAAGACCTTTGTTCATCTTTAAAACACAAATTAAGATATTTTTGATGAAATCCGAGAGCTTTCTGACCCTGCATAGACAGCAATGGTACTACCACGTTCATGGCCCAGAGAGGTAGTAAGGACATTGTTAAAATAGTCCATGTGACATCAGTGATTCAACCTTAATTTTATGAATCTACAAGAATACTTTTTTGTGCGCAAAGAATGTGGTACTCTCATGAACGCACGTTGAAGAAATTGTTGAATAAAGTATTTTTGTTTTTTTTTGCCTACAAAAAGTATCCTCGTAGCTTCATAAAATTAAGGTTGAACCACTGATGTCACATGGACTATTTCAACAATGTTCTTACTACCTCTCTGGGCCTTGAACGTAGTAGTTGATGCCTATTGAGAGTCAGAAAGCTCTCGGATTTCATCAAAAAATATCTTAATTTGTGTTCCGAAGATGAATGAAAGTCTTACGGGTTTGGAGCGACATGAGGGTGAGTAATTAATGACAAAAGTTTCATTTTTGGGCGAATTATCCCTTTAAGCTTTCAATCAACTGGGCAAGATCTGAAAAAGGGCAGGGCTTTGCAACAAACATCCAAAATTGCAAATGGTTGATACTAGACTAACAGTGGTTGAACTTAAAAACCACAAAAATTGCTCAGAAATAGAGACCCATTTAGTTGAAGTCTTTCACATCACATTAAGTTTAGTGTTTATAATTAGTATTTGTAAATATCGAAGAATGCAATTATTTTCAATTCTTCTTTTTTTTTTTTATAACCAATTTCACTGTTTAGTAGTACCTTTTTTGTGTTTTTATTTTGTACAGCATTCAACAACATACATAATCACATACCAACACAGCCGACAACACTACATGTGTACAGACAAAAAGATTCTTGTGCTTTACACTGTGTATGTACATTAAAAAACATTAATAAATCATAAAAACAATAACTGATCTGCATTAATTCAACCAAAATAAGTAATAACTTATTTTGAAGATAATTTATGAAAGGTCATCACATAAAATCAATTTACCGACGTAAATTTGGCCTTATTTTTTTCCAGACTCAAGAATTGTAACACATCTATATCCCACCGTTTTAGTAGTAGCTTTTAGGACCAACACTTAAAACAAAAAAATATATATATATAATTCATATAACTATATAGAATAGTTGTTGTCTTGTTTTAAAGTATGAAATATTCAAGAACAAGACAAAATACACTTTTACATCATTAAAATAAGTTTGCTTTGTGGCTGCTTAAAGGCCAGCTTGAATTATGCCTGCTCTGATCAACTTAAGCCCCTATTATCATGGTATACAGTTATTATTACTGTGTAAATGCATTCATGCCACAACCAAGCAGCATTAAACAGTCTGTGTAAAGACACATTTAGAATAGTCTGAAAATACCTTTTAATATCTTATACAGTTTTGCTGTGGACGAGCAAAACAACAGCTTTAAGGTTGTGACAACCATTTGTTTTCACCCTAAAAAAATGTTTTGAATATTGAAATGTTTGTTTGCGTTTCTTCATAGCTCCTGAGACGAATACTACCTCTGAGAGCATTACTTTGGTGAGTTCATTCAACAAAATATAATACATAAACACACTGACATATCTCTACATGCCTGTTTAAAATATTTAAACCTTTATATTTATTATTTCTTCAATTGTCTTTCAGGAGCCCTTTGAGATGTTTCCTGAAGGTTCAGGAGGATCTGGAGAAGACCCTGGTGTAGGTACGTCTGAGCAAGAAAGCAAAGGTAACACGATTCTCCACAATTAGTTCTGGTACTATGAAAAGGTTCCCGCGGTGTGAAAGGCCCTATTGTTCTCCTTCAGGTACTGGTACTCACACATCTGCTAATTCTATAATGAAAGCAGACAGGAAATGAATGTGGCACCTTACTGGAAAGTCAAAATAGGAAATGGTCACCATAATATGTTTGGAGTTTAACAATGTGCTGTAATTTCCACACGTTTCAGCCTTCTGTGACATTTCACCTCTGTCCTCACTCACGCTTCCTCTCAGGTTCAGTGGCAAAAGATGGAGCTGATGATACTGAATATGCTTCAGTGTGGCTGTGTGTGTCATGTGTTTTTGGGCTGTGTTTTCTTGTAGTCCTCCCCATGTTCACAGTCTATTTACTCAGGTAAAACTCTTCAAATGTTCCATCTTTTAATATATAATTAGTGATTGCTTAGATCTGAAAATCCTTTTGTCTTTTAAAAAGTTGTTCCAAGTCTGCTTCTTTGTTTCTCCATTCAGTCCTCATATTTACCCCCGTTTACTTTCTGCTTTTGGGTCTTATCAGGTATAGGCTGCATTTCATGTCTAGAATAGGAAAACAGACTTTGCCCTTTGCATTCCTCCTTCATTCCCCTCGGCCTCTACCTGCTCCTGCTCCCTCCGAGCAGCTTCCAGAGGAGGGAAAGTCTCTGATGTCTCCTCCAAAACACAGCCAGCAACACTTTCTTCCTGTTTAGCAAGAGGAGCAGGAGGGCATTCATCTGCATAACATGGATTATTTCCTGTCTTCAGGGACAGAGGGTGTGCCGTGGACAATAGGCAGACATGAGTAAACAGAAGAAACCCCACTGTATTGGATACAGTGAGACTGACTAAGATTCACACACGCTGTTTTTATGTGATTCAGTAGCCTAACAGTATTATGAGTGTGAAAAGTCAATGTTGTATTTCATCTTGGGCTACATTTTATCTGTTATATTATTGATATTTTTGACTACTTTCAAAACCATTTGTAAATAAGGATTTTTTTTTAAATGTTGACCATGGCAGTCTCACATCTGAAACTAAAGCACTTTTTTTTTTAAGTAGTTCTGAATAATTGTGTCTGCTAAATGCCTTACAGGAATGTTAAGATAATCTCATTCAACATGAAAAATTATTGTGACTCCTCCTAAAGGAATCAACATTATGGTGAGTAACTTACAATGGATGTGAATGGGACCATTTTTTGTAAGATTTAAAAGGACAAATATAAAGCTGATCATTTTTTAAAAGCATTTACATGAATTCTTATGTCAGAACATGTTATTTGAGCTGTGAAGTTGTTTTTGGAATTTTTACAGTCATTTTAATCAATTGAAAACATTTCCAAAGACAAGGTTAGTAAGTGAAATTATGTTCACACATTGTTTTCATCTTGTTTCTATACTGTTGAAACTGGATTTTAATGTTTATGGATTGGCCCCATTCACTTCATTGTAAGTGCCTCACTGTAAAACATTTTTATTTTACATTTGAAAGAAAAGGTCGTTTTAGGGTAATTGATTGATTGAGTTTAACTTGTATCAAACCTGTAATTATCCTTTTAATGTAAATAAGCATTTGCAAGTATGCCTTGTGGTGAAAGCAGATTTACAGTTAATGAAATTATGGTATTTAACTGTAAATTTAAGTTAAAACCGTAAAACCTAAAATGTTGCTACCATATTTTTTACGGTAAAATTCCGGCAACCACAGCTGCCGGTTTTTTACCGTAAATTTTACGGATTTTTTTTTACAGAACACTGGAAATCACCTGTTGGGAGAAGTTGTTGCTGAGCCATTAACCAGATGAAAGATCATTTTCATCATTGTTCTTAACAGTAATCACATGCTAGTTTACTCCAGGGAGATGGTCTCCGTTACCAGTGTTCTAGATACAAATGTGAAAATGGTATAGAATAATGAATAATGTGCAGTGTTTCATGATTTCTTGTTTATACAGAGTGAAATATGCTGAACGATATTTCAGTTTCAGTTTGTTTGTACATTGCTTTTTAAAATACATATGGTTCCAAAGTGACTGTAAAAAGAATAGTGACTTAGAAACTCCAAAGAGGTTAAAGGTGACAATGAAAAGAAAGCGCCCTAAGATGGTTATGTGGGATAAGGAAGAAGGAACAAAGACCCATGTTTAAACAATTTTTTTTTAAATCTCCATAGCCAAATATAATCTAGCCATGTTAAATGGCAAGAGCCAGAAATCTTATACAATTGGGGCCAGGGACCCCTAGAATCATCACCACCTTTCCCCTGCTAGCGATGGCCCTGGTTCTGCAGTCTGCACAATCAAACTGAAATTCTAATGTGGTAAACATTTTTGTCTCTTAGGACTTTTTTTTTTTTTTACTGATCTTGTTCTCTGCTGTTATATTAGATTTACATATTGATAACCCTGAATGGTATCAGAGGTATGTGTTGTCTAATGAAACTATGAAACTGAGTCCTACACTGTCTCTTTTGCCCATCTGTAAGGAATACCACTGGATTAAACATAAAACAGCAGATTTGAAGGCTCAGCAGAGAGGAAATTCAAGGGAGAATGGACTGCATCAACGATGCTGAACTGTAAACATCAGTTTTAACACTGTTACTTAGAAATTAGATACCTGTACAGTGATTAAATTACTATCATATGCCTACAATGCTCATGAGGTGATAGTAAAGTAAGCCTATGTATAAAAATGTAAAGGTATAAAATATGAAAGAATAATATTTACTTAGGGATTATAATTTGTTGCAATCAAGTTAATGAATGTTAAATAGACAGAACTGATGTCACATTATCACAGTGTCTGTAAAACTGGTCAGCTGTCAACTTGTCCAATGAAAAACCTCTTTTGCTGATAGCAAGACCTATTCTTATCCGAAAAACCAAGTGAAAGTGATTTTGCTACCTTGTCTTGTGCACATTACATTTCATTGTGGTGTGCAGGGCAAGTTTTGTTGAGAATTGAGAAGAGTAGCAATTTGTGTTTTAAATTAGTTTAACAAAGATAGATCCTCTGAAGAGGATCTCTCCTGTCCTGTGTGCTGTGATATCTTTAATGAACCGGTTGTCCAAGTGAAGTTCTGGACAACCAATGGATTTCAAGTGTGTCCTGTTTGTAGAAGATCCTGAACTGAAGAACCTGTGTGAGGTTTTCCTAAAGAAAAATAACCAGCTTCAGATTCATCAGAGTTCTGCAGTTTGCACCATGAGAAAATGAAGCTCTTCTGTCTGGATGGCAAACAGTCTGTCTGTTTAGTTTGTCAAACAACCAAGAAACATAAAAAAAACATGACCTCTGTCCTGTTAATGAGGTTGTGCAAGATCAGAAGGTTAGCATTTATAAAGGTCAGGCATAAGAAATGACGAAATGCTGACCTATCTGACTGTAAATATAAATAAATGGTTTTATTTCACAATGTTTTCTGATCATAGTAAAGCTGTATATATTTATACAATAAACTTGTGTTTTGAAACAGTGGTTGTGTTAAAGAAGACATTTTCAACTCCATAAACGCGATAAAATGGTATGTTAAAAGTGCGATCGGTCTGGAGTCTAAAGAAAATGTACCACTTATAGTACTAACACAAGTAAAAACTGCAACAATGAAGAGCAGTCAGATCTGTCATTCATATTTTTAAATAGTCGTGGACAGTGTTAAGATCATATCAGTTGTAATAACAAGAAAGGTTGACTCGGTTTGCTTTCCTTTGCAAGTAACCAGTCTGCTTGTGCTTGATGTGACTTTTCCAGGCTTTCTCTTCTGCTCCTCTGCCGTTACATCATGCCAGTTTTAAGGATCCTCCATCCACCATCTGGGGTTCCACTTGTTAAACATTATAGTTAGCTACATTAGTTAACATGAACTAACATTGAAAAACACTTCCAAATGCATTTATTTACATTAGCTAATGTTCATTTCATAATTTACTAATACATTATTAAAATAAAACATTGTATCTATTATAATACTAATGGACCTGAGCTAATGTGAACTAACAATGAACAGTTTGATTTTTTTATTAACTGTTAACAAAGAATACAGTGCTGTAACAAATGTGTCATTGTTAGTTATTTTCAGTTAATGTATTAACCAATGTTAACTAATATGACTTCCTGTAAAATTGTAAACTCATTCAAATTTCCAGACTCTCAAACTTCTCAGTAGCCTTCAGACATTGTCTGTCATTTTAAAGGGCAGTGACACGTTTCACATTAAGCAATACAATGTGAAACCACCAAGTAGGCTCACCCATTTTCATATAAAAGAAACTGTATAAAGATTGACTGATTATTTATTTCAGCAAAACTAAACGTTTCTGTCATATGTACGACAGTGACTTTCACTCACTTAACTGTAGGGGGCAACAAAGTCGCAAAAATACACAATGCTTCAAATGAACAAGCGCTAATTCTTGGCTTTAGTTATGACCCTACTTCGTGACTGTGTCCATACTGCCCACCCCTAGATCAAAACACTGACAAATTTGGCTGAATTATAAAAGCCAGAAGTGGTACTAAATAAAGGGGAGCCGGTTCTTTTTGCTGAGCTGAGCCAAATGATCCAGATCCCATCCCTAAAAAGAGCTGGAATTCCCATCACTAGTATGCATGAACAAAGGTTTCGGTCGTCTGTTTGCTGTTACAGTCAGTTCCCACACACTTACTGCTGAGGAAACTTCACTCTCATGTGTTGTGCATAGTCTTTCACTAGTAGTAGGCCTACAAGCTAAAATTAGTAGGACTACATGCCAAATTTCTGATTCATATAAGGCGAGCTTTCTGTATACAACGACATAACTTGAGACCATTTTTCTGAAATGACAACCATGGGCATTTCCTAGTTCAGTGGTCAAAATATCATTGAAATCTCTTGTGATTATCTACAAAATGGGGACAATATATTTTTGTTTTTTAATTGGTGTGGGTTCCATATAGACCTACTAATATTATCATTATAATGTTTCGGGATCAAACTGTAACTAGTTCTTTCACACTATGAAAAATAGTAAATATTAACCATTGAAAATAGCAATCAGATCAAAACAGTATATTATGACAAAACTGAATTTACAAAAACACATTACAAAAATAAAACAATATGAAAACGTGATTTAAAAAATAGCTGTATTTAGCAAACAGTAAAAAAATTTAACTGTATTTAACATTTAAATTTTCACAAAATTACACTTTTACACTGTTACACTTGCAGTATATGTGCAATAATATGATATTGATAAATAATGGTCAAAGTTAAGTGTCAGCTGCCATTGTGTTGTGAGATTAAATTAGCACTTATCGTAGAGAATTATGCCAAATTTGTCATATTTCTGTCATTAGTTGTGCAAGGATTTATCTTGAATGTATTTTTATGCATTATTTTTCAGAAGTATTTTATTATATTGAACAATATATATATATATATATATACACACATACACTGGGCTGCATTAATGCATGAGCTTATTAGTGGCCTGTAGCACGAAGCGAGATGAACAATCTAGGTTTAGGTCAGGATCAGCTGTTGCACATCACTTGGCATATAAACATTCTCTGTCAGCTCAGGTTTTATCCAGAGTTTGTGAGGCGTGTGCACCTGAAAGTGTGACACATGCTGCAAACAGCCAATCACACAGAACATAAAAAGCATCAGTTTGATTGACTTCTCACGAGAGTCAGTGCAATGCACTTCTCTGTTGAAGATGAAGAGATTGTTATGAAAAAATACCATGAATTGAAACACATTTACAAGGCAGGAATAAACACTGCTGCACTGGAAGTTTGAGCAGGCAAAATTGTACGTTTTTTTTAGCATTAATAAAAACGTACAAAAGTGTACGTTTTGTGCTTGTAAATGTTACGTATTAATACCTACGTATAAACATGAGACCAGGCTGACCATTTAGACAAAAAGGTTCTTCTATGGCATCGTGAAGTACCTTTATTTCTAAGAGTGTAGAAATCTCTCTGTTGTGTTGCATCAGATGTTGGAAGTCATGTGAGGTATTGATAAAAAAAATTAAGGTAATGTCATGTTTTGCCTTTCTATCACTAAGATGGCTGTGGAAGTCCTAATATGGACGTCCTTTCTCCCTGTGTTGTATCAGCCTGGGGAAGTTGGTTTAGCTTTGTATTGTAGTCACGAGTTTTGAGTGGGTGTAGGCCAGAAGGGTGGAAGACGGATGATTGTTTATTAGCTTCAGACAGTAAAGGAGACAAGATAATGGTGTGCATGCAGTACGGGGAAAGTTATTAGGATATCTAATAACTTTCCTTTATTATGAAAGTTATCAGATTACATGCCTGCTTAAAGATTAAATGGCAAAGGTGTTTTCCATTTTTTCATTTCTTCCCTAATAATTTATAATATTTTAATTATTTATTTACTTCCCGTGTCATTTACAGTAGCCATCTTATTGAGTAAACAACTGTAAGACTAGGGTTGGTTGCTAACCCTTAAAGATGACAGAGTTTCTATTCTTCAATTACCATTATGAATGCTAAACACCACATTTCAGATAGCTGTCACCCTTTTAGTTGCCATGGACACCTTGTTTCTGTGTTTTCCTGTGTTCTGTTTTGTTTTAGTTCCTGTGTGCCCTTATTTATTTATATGTTCCTGGTCTCATTTAGCCTGATTAATTTACCTCCATCACCTTTGTTTAGTTAATGATCCTCCTCTGTCTATGTATTTAAGTTGTTCCCTTTCAGTCACTCTCTGTTAGGTCACTATTATACTAAGTTGTGTTTTCCCTTGCGTATCTGCCTGAGTTTGAGTCCACTATTGAATTGAGAGTTTTTGGACTTTCCCTGCTGTCTCCTTTGCCTTGCTTCTACACAACCCGTGACAATAGCTTTAATGAAAGAGTAAATGTATAGGCCTACATTTATTCTGTTTGGACTTAACTCTGCCATTCCCACCATGCTTCTTCATTCATTTTCTCTCCCTCTCTTGATCAGGGAACACTGTCAAGACTTTTTGCCAATGGAAATCCATCATTCATCCCTCCAATTACAAATATGACAGCAAGCAGGCCTGTCCTGAAAATCTTGAATGTCTGCTTATCTGCCCAACTGGTAATGTGAGTGTATTATTTGTAAAATGCATGTTTTATTGTTTTTATGTACTGATAGGCCATCAGATGAATTGTCATTGACACTTAGAAGTATAACTGAACTGACATTGCTTTGCTTTATGCTTGCTTTTATTTATTTTGCAAATCAATGAAAAGCAGCAGTGCTTTTTAGCAACTGATTTATAATCATTTACTATTTTCTAAACATGCCTTTCACATCAATCAAAACATAGAAATATCAAGCAGCGCAAAATATTATTTTGAAATTCTTTGTTGCCCTACAACATAAAACAATGTCAAGTCAAGTCAAGTCATTTGCTGAACTTTTTTTAATTCTAAGTTGGTAAATTTAAAGGTAATTTTGTCGCTATACACAATGAACAGAAAATTACAGCACATTTGTCCTGGTGATCTTTTTTGCAGCTTGGAAAGTATAAAATACCTCGACAAACAAGATCTTACGACCAAAACAGAGACCTGCTGTCACAAAGCATTCATACTACTTTTGTTGTTCTCTGAAATGCTGAAGAAAGCTCATGTGTATCAAACCTATGGAATGCAGGGTTGTCCAATCCTTTTCCTGGAGGTGAAGGAGTTTCGCTTCAATCTGACCAAACACGCTTGCCTAGAAATTTCCAGTAATCCCAAAGACTTTGCTTAGATGGTTCAGTGTGTTTTATTAGGGTTGGAGCTAAACACTTAAGGACAATGGTCCTTCGAGAGCAGGTTTGGACATCCCATGCATTCAGGCCCGGATTAAGAATACATAGGGCCCTGGGGCTATAGCAAACCCAAGGGCCCCCCTTCATAGTAGCCTTGGTACCACAACATTTTCTACCACAGGAATTTTTTTTTTAATCAAATCTCCAACACACAGAGATACAAATACAATGAGTATGCACAGTAAATATTCCAGGCTACAACACATTAAAAGAATAAATACATTAACACTAGATATATTAAGTCAAAGCAAACATGTTTCCAGAAGCAGCAACAACTTTTGAGCATATACAGCTCCCTTAAGGAGTTTACTTTAAATAGTTTTATTATTAGAAGGTCTTCTTTCTGGCCCTAGAAGAGGAGAATCATCAGGGCTGGACTGGTGCTAAAATTCAGCCCAACTGGCCCACACAGTCCCCCATAAATTTTCTTCTGTGGTTAGGGCAATTGGAATAAATTATTTATTAATAAATAACGGACAAAACCAAATGATATTTTTGAATACTTAAAATGCATTTAACAATATTAATATTCCACTAAATTGCAAGCTCTTAATGAATTCATTCATATTTTTCTGCAATTAAAGTTTATTAGAACTATCAAATTCTCCTTTGTAGTTGCCCTAATGAACAGCTTATTCTTGAATCCAGAGTTAACTGTATTAATAGTATACCTTTTTTTAAATGACGTATTGCCTTTATTTTATCCAATATTTAATAGGCTATATAAGTAGTCTATAATAATTTTTGCGACATTAATAATAAAATATCACTAATGCCATATTTCTACAGTGTCAGTAACTGCATGTTAAATAGGTGTGGTTTTGTGGATTAAAATGCTTATTTACAGTTTTGTACAGTTGACCTCGACACTTTAGTTTACGTGGTCTGTGCTATTCAATCTGGTTTCCGCTAGCTTCGCCACAGAGACTTTACTCTTCACATATAAGTGTCCTGTGGCGAATTCAAATGGGCAAGCGCTGCTTATTATCACTTAAAACGAGCGGCGAAAGTAGCCTAATAATGTAGTCTATTAACTATACATAAAAGCCTGTCTGTTTACTTAATTAACAGATATGGGTGTCATGCCATAACATATTTTTAATACTACTGACTTTATATTCAATGTGAATTTAACATTGAAAGTTAATGTGAATAAAAACATTTTAAGTTAGGCTACTTATCATAACACTTTCATTGTACAGAAAGAGAGCAAAGAACATTTACATGATCAAAGAACATTTTCACTGACCGTCTAGAGTTCAAGCACTCTCAAAAACTCCCATTAAAATCACTGAAGCTGTTTACTCTGTGAAATGAATATCTTACTTACAGATTCATACACACATCTGCAGTTTGTTGTTTCTAATGAGAGAATTGGCCAGAAAGAGGTAGGCCAATTCAGTCAGAGAGCGAGTGAAGAAAACGCCGGCATTTTAGCGATGACTCATCTGAACACCTCTGATTGGTCATTGCATTCATAAGCTCAACAGCATTGTGTGTGATTGGTTATAATGCGCAGCGCTTACAAAATAAAAAATAAATAAACAACATTTTAAACAAAAAGCTGAAAAAAAGACTATGAATTGATTCAGAATGATAATCAAAACGTAGATGGAGAATCAACACCCCAAAGCTTGACAATCAATATTACCTCTTCATGGGTCAACATTTTATTCAATAACGTTACACAGTTTTGATGCTGTTTTATATCTGATTATTAGTACCGCCACTCCCTAAACGCAGAGTACGCAGTTTGCGTAGGGCACCAACTCCCAGGGGGGCACCAAACCAGTTGCTCAAAAAATTAAAAAATAAATGAAAATAAAAAACGTTCGTTCTATATTAATATTAACATATACATATACATAAATATAAACATAAATCTAAACATGAACATATATATAATTATATAATATATAAAATATATAATTATAAAAAATGCATTTTATGGTGAACGCAGTAGGCGGTATAAGCACACATGACGCGCCATTCCCACATGTGCGCCCGCGCCCGCTCTGGCTCTCACCTCATGTTTGCGGCTGAATACAAATGATTATCATAATTAATGGACAACTAGGCTATATCAGGGAAAAGACATCAGCGCAGTCCGGCGCAGAGAAAAGAAAAAGAACAAAGCCCGAGCATCACTTTCAGGTAACTAGGCCTATAAGTTCATAATCCTGTGAAACTTTTTTGACTGTTGACGTTAGTAACGTGTTTTAATGTCGGTAATAATTTCACCAACAACAACAACGCATCTGACTTAATATTCTAGTTTCCATGACTTAAAATGTATTATATAAAAACTACGCGGCAGTATGCTATAAGGTTTAAATAGCCTATGGTTTCATTGAATAGGCTAACACTGTTAAAATACATAATGTAATACAAAATAAACAATTTGCATTATTACAAATGCCTGCAAAGGGCACCAAAGGCCTGATAATTGCTGTTGTTACACTTACAGGACGATCAAATCCTTGTTTAATATTGACCAAACATTTCATTCAAATATCCACTTAATTTTTGGCCACCTTTTTGCGAAAGAAATGCTGTAGCCTCTTTAATTTCTTCAACAAAAACATGTGGACATCACAACCCTTACCAAAATTAACCATGGTTTTATCGTAGTAAAACTGCTTAATTTTATTTTGTGTGATTTCTGAATGCTTGAGACCATAAAATCAATCAGACAACTGTATTAATAAAATCATAGCCATAGGTAACTGTATAGAGCTACAATTGTAATTTATAAATAATACTATTGAATTACAATTTATTTATTTACTTTTATATTTGATTAAAGTTCTATTTTGACCCCTTATATTAGGTGTTTTTTTGGGGGGTTTTTTAGGGAGGGTGCACAACAATAATATTCTGCTTAGGGCACCCATTTGGCCAGCAGCGGCCCTGAGGAAGACATCTTTATCGCTCATATGTTTTAGACTGAAAAAGCGCAGACACTAAGGATGAATCTTTTTTTTGTGCGCCTGTGTCGAGAGCTAATGTAGGCTACATGTAGTATTCTTTGGCTTTAATAACAGCGCTTAATATGTGGGGGCGTGGTGAAAGAGCGTTGCGCCAGGAGTCAGGGGTTGCTTTCACTTGCTCAACCAGGAAGTCGAGCAGAAACGTTATCATTTGCCTTCCCCTCTTTAAGATGACAAGAAGTGCAGCTTTTCTTGGTAAGTTCATTGATTACTACTAATTTGTTTTACATCTCTGTGTACCAGCTTTCCATTTGCAGTTCTGGTTTGAAATGGTTTGACCAGCGGATTTAGGTCGTCGATTGATATTGAAATGAATCTACGTCTACAAATAGTTATTGTGATATGAACGTACAGTCAAACTGTGAGATAGGCTACAAAGTCACATTTACAATAAATAAAGTGACAGTATCTTTATTACTATTTTTACTCCGAGGTGGAAACAGTCCACTTGTTTAATAAATTGGCCACCCAGCATTAGCTGTTGATCACCCAACATGTCACGATAAAATTTCACTTTTTACTGAAAGTTGCGTTTTATATTCAATATATTTTATTTGATCTTAAGCTATCTTTACCGTGCGTCGAATTGTCTATTTGGGAATTCCCCTCCAGAAGCGACCTAACGTTAGCCCTTCAGATAAGCACACGAATGGTGAAATATCAGCATTGTAGCTTTGCAGACACTTATTAGAAGACTAACAAACTTAAGGGATTACATTTTGATTTGATTAAGCTAAAGAGACCCCCCTCCCCTATAATTTTTTTTTACTAATTGTAGATTAAATCACATGCACATAATGCTTTGTGGTAATCAAGCAACTCATTAGATTGTGATTTGTGGGCAAAGATTACTTGGTCACTTTCTGTGGATTAAAAAAAAACAACGAAAAACAACAACCTATTTATTTATTTTTTTGTGATTTGCTGCAATAGTAGTTTGTTAGGTGTTGGCGTTAATGTGATTTTGAGATTTAGGAAATTGTAGCACTATTAGTATACTGTTTTGGGGAAATATATTTTTTGTGTGTCATAGGCATATTTTAATTAACTGCTTAAAAACAAATGTCAGAGAATGGGATAGGAGGTTCCTTCTCATTTAGGGTGGCTGACAATAAATTTTACCATCATCAGAAAGTGAATATATTATGTAGTGGAAGATGTACCCCCAACTTTAATTTTCCTCTTGACAATAGGAGCCATTAATCTCAACACATTTATTGAAAGGTCACACTTTTTTTAGTCTAATCTGTAAAATACAAAAGTTTGAAAGACTTTGTACTACATAAAAAAAAGTAAGCAGTGGTATACAAAACCAACTGTTTCCACTTTTAAATTAGGAACCGAAGCAAAGCTGTTGCTATTTCAGAACAAGTCCTACATGGATTCTGTGTTTCCATAAAAAGGGAAAACAGTTCCTTATCTCTGCTTCTGGAAGTGGTTTTTGTGAATCAGAAAGTGTTATGTTGTCATTCAGAAAAACTGTGTCAGAGAGTGGTGAGTTCTTTGTTGTTTAAAAATGTCCCTGTTGTGTTGCATAATGTTTGAAGTATTGGGAAAAAAACACAAGGTACTGTTTCCGTTCACTCTCTAAAATGGCTGTGAAAGTCGTTAAATGGACATCCTTTCCCCTGTGTTGCATCAGACCAGGGTAAGGTGGTTCAGCTTTGTTTTGCAGTCACGAGTTCTTGAGTGGGTGTAGGTTTAATGGGTGGAAGAGGGCATTTGTTTATTTGCTTCAGACAATGAAAGAGACCAGATAAAGGTGTGCCGTATGGGGAAAGTTATCAGAAAAGCATATCATCTCCTCACACTTGATCTGAGACATCTTCTAAAACTAAACTTTAGAAGAGGTGTGTCCTGTCTAGATGCCTGGTTAAATTAACATGAAAAGGCAAATGGTTTTCCAGTAGCCAGTTTAGATGTTAGAGTTCTTTTCTTGATATTTGCTAAATTACTATAGTGTCATTTTGGAGTATTCATGTAAAACAGTATTGTTTCTCATGACTAATTTCTGTGTAAATATGTTCATATACCGCCTTTGAGGGTTAAATATAATATAACCGCATTTGATGTGTCAGATTACGGTTGTACACAATTTGTTATTTTACACAGTCCTAGTTATATATATATATATATGACATTATAATAATTAACTTAATAACTGTAAAAGGTAATACAAGCAGTGCCACACATAAAGTAACATAACTCAATATTGTTGTTATGATTATATGCTATTATGTGGTTAGTTTCTTCCTTTCAAATTCTCAGGAAATCGTTTGAAGATATTGTGTCAGCATACAAGTTTTTTTTCTTCAGTCGAATTATCTCTTTTTATGTCTACTTAATGAATAATAATGTCCCTGTGGATTATGTGGCCTGCAGTCTGGGCTCATGTATAAACACTACTTTACTACTGTATATGTACATAACAGTTACTCATCTGAATTTAACCCTTATTAACTGCAGTTTTTCCTAACCATTTTATCTATACCTCATTGGCACAATCAGGAGGAAACAGAAATGTGTTTTTTTTTTTTTTATGTTTATTATTAATATATAACAGAATATATATGAGAAAAATCTGTTAAAATATAGTTTTGAAATTATTGACTTAAAATATAACAATTCTGTTTTTTTTGTTGTTTTTTTTGTATTTAAGTACAAGTAAAATGATCTTCAGTGGTAGATTACAAAAGGAAAAGGAAAGCAAGTGTGCTTTGATTGGAAAATAAATATTAGTCACGGCTGGATATGTTTGTCCAAATCTTTCTTGATTTTTTATAGATGTTTAAATATGATTAGCAGTAAGCCGCTGTTGACAAAGCTCGTCAACTGTAGCTAAGTGTTGCTCTTCATGAAAGTGGTGTAAACACTTGGGCTGTAATTTAGCTCTTAGCGCTTGTCATCTGCTGATAATACACAATGTGTTTGTGTGCTTGTCTTGTACAGGTCAAAATTGAGAAATTGGTCTATTTAGACAAGGTTTCAAACAAAAATTTCAGAGAAAGTGTGTTAACAAAAAAGCTTTTGTTGTGAAAACTAAATTATTTGAATTAATTTAATAATATTTTCCAGATAACGCATAATTAAGTATTAAATCTATTTCCTTTAATACAATGCAAGCATAAATGCTACTTTTTACGTATTTATTTTTTCAAAAACACCATTTTCTTACACAGTATATGAATCTTAAAATATATAGTAGAAAGTGGGGTCTTTGCTGGGGGATGATGGGATCCATGACATTTGGGGGTCCTTGACATCAAAAAAGTTTGAAAACCCCTGTGTATTAAACTATGATCTCTGTGACAAGTGAGTTTGGCTGTTCTTTGTTTTAAAGACTCAAAAGTGTAAAATGGATGTTGGTCTCAACTAGTATTCAATCAAAAAACACTGAAGGCATTTTCTCAGTTCATGCGCTGTCATATTTTCTTCAGGCTTCTTAGCATTTTGCCTTAGCAGGGCAGCATAAGCTTCTCTATGTTTATTTTTGTAACTGTTTAAATGAACCTAGTATACTAATTTGTTTTGTCCATGTCTCTTTCAGCTGTGGCCGTGCTGTTATGCATCATACTGTCAGCAGAAGCATCTGATGTCCTGCGATGCACAGGGGAGAGACAACGCGATGGGCAGTTCTACTTCAACATGTCGCATGGCCTTCAAGAGGACGTCGATGACTGCGAGACCCAATGGGTCATCAATGTAAATATTTTACATATTAAGAAAATATACAGTGGCAAGAATAATGTTGTGAAAACTTTGAAAATATCTGTATTTCTGTATTGATTACTCATAAAATGTGGTCTGGTCTTCATCTAAGTCACAATTTAATACAAACACAAACAAAATACAAAAAATGTATTTTTCAACATTTAATTGAAGACACTTGAGTGATCATTTACAAGGCCAGCTGGAAAAAGTAAGTGTAAAAGTAATAAACCTCTGCTTCATGACTTCGTCACAAGATAACTGGAGAGAGATAAGGTGGTCATGTTGGAAGTGTGGGTTGCTTAGGTGCCCCAGCCTTTAAATAATAAAAGGTTCATAAACTTATTCTTGTCTGTGTAAATGTCTTTTTTTTTTGTTTTGCCAGCTACTGACTGATGAGTTGCTCTGTTTGTTGGGTTTTTACTGATTTACTTGTTAGTAAATACAGTCTATTAATACATAAATCCAGTGATTAGATCCCAAATTGTTTGTCTGACTGTAGGGTTGTTAGCCAAACCTAAATATGCCATGGTGTTATAAACAATACATTCTGCATAGATTCAGTGAAAAAGTAACTTTATACATATGCTTATTCTTAAGTCTGCCATACCACTATCCTTTATTCCTTTTCTCTCCCTCTCCTGATCAGGGAAGCGTGGCAGGGATTTCTAATGCTGATGAAAATAAGTTCATACCCCCACTTGTAATGGCAACAGCAAACACTGCCCTCTTACAGACCTGCCCTGAAAAACTTGAATGCCTGCTCATCTGCCCCTCCGCCAGTGTAAGTGTAATACTGTTTGTGTTTTAGATTTTATGGCCATCAAATGAATTTAATAGCATAACCTAACTAACATTGCTTTGCGCCCGTATGCTTTCTTTATGGATTTTTATTTATTTTGCAGATCAACACAAGGGAGCAGTGCTCTTGTAAGTAATTGACTTACTACTATATAATACTTCAACACAATTTTAGCACATAGTAATATCGAGTAACTAAAAATAAAAGACTAGAGATCTTTTATTGCCCTAGAATGTGCAATAAAATGAAATAAAATTGTTTTTCAGGTGATATCACTTCTCCGACTACACTTCCTGAAGGTAAGGTCAACTGCTTATGCTGTAGCGCTAAATTGTTTTAAACTATTAACATGAAAGTACTAAAATAAAGTGATGCCACTGTACACTCACACATTTTCTGTTAGCAAAAATAGGCTTTTTTTTAGGCCAGCAAGCTAGTATCCTGTTTCAGACACCAGAATGCTATGAAACGCACATGCTCGGTTTCATTTTTTTCCAAGTTCTTTAATGACACAAGTGAACATAAGAGAGATTTGTCGCTCCATCAAAAAGTCCATTCACCCAAAACTGTGGCTCTTAAAAAACTTTAAAAAGAGATCAAAAAATAAATCCATTTGAATTAATTGGTTTAATCCAAGTCTTTTGAAAAGACTCGATCACTTTATATGATGAACAGATTTAATTTAGTCTATTATTCACATATAAACATTGATCAGCAAACTGTGTTTACAGCATTAAATTTTGTTCACGGAAGCTCAAGCATGCTTGCTTGATGTGCAAAAAACAATGAGGTTAATTCTCGCGTGTTACACCAGCACATTTCAGCTTCCGCAAGAACCTAGGGGTTTATCTTCATGCATCAAGCAAGTATGGTTGAGCTTTATGTTCGCTGATCAATGTTTATATGTGAATAAAAACATAAATTAAACCTGTTCACCATATAAAGCAATCATATCTCTTCAGAAGACTTGGATTCTAATGGATATGTGTTACGATCTTTTTGAAGTGTCTGAATTTTGGGTGAATAGACTTTTAAATGAGGGACAGAAATCAGATTTGATATCAAATAATTTGTGTTCCGAAGATAAATGAAATTCTTATGGGTTTGAAATGACATGAGGATGAGTAAATGAGAGAATTTTCATTTTGAGGTGAACGTTGTCACACCTGCTTGCTGGCTGATACAGAATGATCACACTTGAAGATCAGTTAAGTAGTATTTAATGGAAAACAAACAAACAGTGATAATCCAAACAAATATAACATCCAGTGACCTGTAGCATGAAGCCGCTTTCCGTTTTTATCCAGGTAAGTTTGTGTTTAGTTTGAGTAAACTCTTGAGTTTTCGGGCTCAAGAAGGTGGGTTGGTTTTGAGCGGGTTTCGTCACCATGGTAACTTGCCCTACAGGGCTACCCTGCTCCCCGAGCAGGTTTTATTCTGGGGTAGAGATCGCAAACCCAAACTGGACCAATCAGCTGTGAGAAAAGTTACATATATGTGACACAATAAAGCCACCTCTCCATCTCTCGCTTCAAATTAAAGCAGTTTATAGTCAAAGAATTTTAGAGACAAAATTGCCAGACTTTTGCGGCTACGTATTTATTATATTTATATTATATCAATTATAATTGTTTATAACTCATATAATATGTTCATATAATTATTATATGAAGTGACAATTTTAAGCTTTGCATTTCAATTAATTAATATATATATATATATATATACATATAGATAAGCTTTAACATATCCAACTTTTAAAATGACTAAATTTATGTTTTCCTTTTGAGCCCTGTGTGAAACTATATAAATAATTAAATCCAGTTGATTCATTTGCATAGTCATATATTTTCTTTCTGTTGCCTTCTCAAACTTTTGCTGCAGCAGCAGTTTATTCCTGCCTTGTAAATGCATTTAAATTCATTACCATTTTAATTACGACTTCTCTTAAAAAAAAAAAAAGTGAGTTGCACCAACTCTCGCGAGAAGTGAATCAAACTGACGCTTTGCTGACACTCTCCACATGTTCCGTGTGATTGGCTGTTTGCTGCAAGTGTCACACTTTCAGGTGCACGCACTTCGGAGTTAATCACAAACTCTGGATCAAACTCTGAGTAGACTGAGAACATTTATATCAAGTTTTGTGAGCCCGCTGATCCTGAGCTAAACCAGGTTGGATTTGTTTGGTTTTGTCAACTCTAAACTTACTCCAAAACTCTGAGTTTGTTCATCTCGCTTCGTGCTACAGGCCACAGGTTGCAACATTAACACAAGACCCCGAACAGAACAAAACACAGGGCTTAAATACACAGAGCCAACAAAGGATATAATGGGTTAATTAACAAGACACAGGTGAATGGGGTCAATCAATCAAACAAATTGGGAAAAGTAGGTCAACAGGCAAAGAGCAACCGAACACAATGAAAACTAGGACAAAACAGAACATAACACTGACAAACGTACTCTTTAAAAGTGTAGACAGACTGTCATGATTATGTAGCTTACAGTGATTCATAGTGGACAGTCACTTCTGAACACTTTTGACATATACTCTTTTCTGTGGTAAGAGCTTGTGTGTAGTATAGTTGTTTACCGTGAGTTCACCTCTATTAATTTCACTTTTAGTTTATACAGAAGCGTATATCATTACTTAATTAGATATGTTACATTAAATATATATATTATAATATAAATATACATCTCAAATTTTCTATATGGAAAATGAATACGTTTTGCTTCTGGATCATGGCTGCTATACTACAGGTTCTCTACAGGGTTTTCAGTGGTTATTTTATTACATGCAAAGTAAATAATGAATAGCTTTTTTTTTAATCCAAATAAGTCAGTAGGATTTAATGTTGTTTGAACCCTGATGTTTTTCAGAATATCTTCTATGTTCCACTGAAGAAAGTCATACAGGTTTGGAATGAGTATTTGTCTTGTTAAATGATGCAATTTATCTCAAAGTGCTTTTATTTTCTCACACTTCTGTTGTGTTTTTATGTTTGTTTTTTCCAGTTGGTTTTCCTGGCCGGATCCATGGTGCTGGGATTGGAGTGAGTGCATCTGTGATTCTGTTGGTCTGTGTCACCATTGTGCTTTACAAGAAAAAAAAAGGTGAGGTCCTCTAAAAATGTGAAGGTTTAGTCATATACACTGTTTTTATGAAGTACTGGCATGAACAAGCTAAACACATGGCTCTGTATGATATTTGTTTTTTTAATATTTCTACAACCATGGATGATTGTGTGCATATTGGTCAGGATATGCTCCAGGTCGTGCTGAAGAGACTGTTTGATCCTGGTATGTATCATTGGTATTTTGTAAAATACTGCTGTTATGATGTATAATAGTTCAAATCATTATCTTTAGTCTTATCTTTTGAAACATACTACACTTATTAGGCAGTCAATTATAGTACAGACAGCGGTGACCACAGCTAAACGGCTTTCCCTTTCCTTTTTATTTTACCACAGGAGATGCATCATTCCACCTGGGCATTTCATCTTCAGTAATTTATTAGGAACTGTACTCTTATCTTTTATATTGGAAGGCCATAACCATGTCTTGAACATTAAAGGGGGTGCAAACTAATTTTTAGTTTTTAAGAAATTAAATAATTAAAGGGATTTAAGGGAATAAATGTGCATCTACATAAGCGTGTACATAAATAACAGAAATTATAGCCTATATATTTTCAATTCTGAACAGTGAAATTTGGCCATTTCTGAAGAGGGACTTGTCCCCTCAATGTCTATGGTGGTTACGGGCCGGTTTTATAGCATTAGCTCTATTATTCTGCTTTTATTGACTACATTTAGCATCTCATGGCTTTATAGCTTGTAGAATTTTTTTTGTTTGTTTGTTTCTTTAAATTATGACTCTATGAACTATGACTCTAACCTAAATGAAGCTACATGATGAAATAATGATATTAGTTATTATATAATAGAATTATATATTTAATACAAAATATTTTTATAATTACTACATGTCATATGATTAGCACAAATGAAAACAAAGTATTGAAAACACTTAAAATTATATTGAAAATATTTTATCATAAAAAGACATTTTGTGTTTGTTATGCAAATGGACACATACAGTATGTTTAACTCTATACATGTATATGAATTATACACTGAATTATATTGTAACTTAGTATATTTAACATATATATATATATATATATATATATTACTTGTATAACTTAATACATTTAACTGTATTATTTGTATTATTAATATCTATCACTGGTCTAGTCAGTCTGTGGGGAAAGAACTTGGTGGATTGCATGGCACTATGGTGAGCATAAAATGTGTGCGAACATAAGTAACTGTATGACCAGGGCAAGTATTTGTTTAAATTACTGCTGTGGAAGCAAAATGAAATGAAATGCTGTGCCAGTGAGTTCACAAATCTAATACATTACCTGTCATATCTAATACATATTACCTGTACCTTTGTGGGAATGGATACTGCTAGATTTGTTCAGATTTGTATCAAATGTCTGTTTAAAGCATTATATATGTCATAAATGATGTTTAGTAATCAGGGCCATCCTTAGGGGGGTGCAACTGGTGCGAACATGATCGCGAACGGATCGAGGGGGGCCCTGCTCCCTACCTCGCACCGGGCCCCGCGTCAGCTAAGGATGGCCCTGTTAGGAATATTTGCTTAGCTATTGTATTGCACAGCTTCACTCTACTCTTTGTAATGACTTCTTCCTTTTAAGCACTTAAACCCTTTCTGTCTAGGTGCAAAAATGTTTTGGGGCATTTCTGTTAATAAAATTATATAAGAACATTTGAGTGTGTACCTGATTTATTTTTCTACACCTCAGACAAGTTTAGAAAGTCAGCAGCTGAGATGACGAGAGTAAATGTATTGTTTATTAGTTACTTCATGATACCTAACACATTAACTAATGTTAACAAATTAAGCAGGGTGGTGTATTCAGCACACCCACAGACAGTTCATGGCCTGATGTATACTGTACATTTAAATGACCAGAACTGGCTAAAACCACCAGTTCCTGTTTCATTGGCTAGTTGTTTCAAAAACCTTTAGGAATCTCCACAGATGATTTTGCTGGAAAACTGTTGATCAGACGATCAGAATAACGGGAAACAGTTCTGTTTGCATCATGGTTTACATATTACCAATACCAGCAGCAAGAAAAGATCAACATATTGTAATTTTACTTTGTTGATTGCAATTTTAGTGACAGTACTATTCCCGTGACCCCACATACATGCTTATATCATTTATACAAGGAATATCACAGCCCTTAAGTACTGAAAAAGATATTCTCTTCAAACACGTCATATTTTGTCACAACAGTAATTGACAAACATTAGCCTACTACACAGTAGTTGAGTGCTTGGAATTTTCCCATGCACATGAGGTTTCAGCCCATCTCAGAGGTTACAGCTGCTACCATATTAACATCAGAATTAAACACTGTCCAACTACTGGTGCAGCCAATCATGTGCCAGAAAGATCACCTCACATATCACCAGCAGGAAATGATGCAGAATTGAGTGAACTGTAATGACCCTGTCATTCAGCATTGACTTCAGCCACTCATTTGCCAGAGAAATAATCACACCACATTTTTTCTCTTCATACTGCAATTTGTCAGTGGAAACCTGCTCAACTTTGTGTTTGTGGGTGTTGTGGTATTCATTCTTTCTACCCAGAGCCCTTATTGCATCATTTTCTAAGTTATGTTATGAAACAAAATCTCTCTGCAGTGTTAAACTAATGACAGTTGTAAGATTTTGTAGTTCAGTTTATCATTACATTTTTTATGATATTCAAAATCAGTCAGAAATGCTGATTAGAACTTCAGAACATTATGTACAACAATGTAAATTAACACACTCACTTTACCCTTCGTCTCTGTTCAGGGAGAATATGCGCTATTTATAAAAAAAGATGGTTCTTTAAAGGTTCTTTACATGCAGTAATGTTATTATTTAGAACCATAGCATTCTGAAGAACCCTTTTATGCTGATATGGTTCTTTGTTCCCGCCCTTTTGTTTTTCAAATCTGTAACTGTCAAAGCACCTCATTACTGATTTTATGGAGTTAGGTGATTGAACTACACAGACTAACACACTCTCAATGTAAATGATAACTTTCAAATGCTAATTGGTTTCCTTTGTCTTTTCTCTTTTTAGTTTAAGAGAACATGTAAGTGTGACCAGCTCTATTCAGTTAAGGATACTCTCCTCTTCTTCACTAAGTAAGTAACAAAGATATTGAATTTATGGTCCATTTTGTTTTTATTTTTTATTACTAGGGTTTAAGCAATAAACATACCCAGCTATCCCATGACTTTATATAGCTTTTTTCCTTTTAACATTGTGAAGTGCTCACATACTACTTTTGGCCTTCATAAACAATTGTTTTCACATAAACAAATGAAAAGAGACGAACTGTATATCTAAACTCAATTGTGCATTTCAGATGCTGTCACATCCTACAACCTCATCACCTGCAGAAAGAAACTGCCACTCAATCACACCAAAATACACATAATGATTAACTTAAAGGCATCATAGAGGATTGTGAAGATATTTCACTGGAGCTTGGTCTTCAATACACTATTTTATGTTATATTTTGTTTTACTTCTTTAAGCATTTATTTATGTTCAATGTCCATCGTCAATCAATAATGTATTCTGCTAATAACTGTTGTTAGAA